GTCAATCAGAAAACAATCCAGGAGTGGATATATGACCTAGGACTAATTTGTGTGGTTTAGACTGAATAAAGATGTAATGATATTGAAAGGAATAAAAAGAGAAAAAAAGCAAATGCCAGAAATAGTGATTTTTAGTATATTTAAGAGGTAGAAAATATGTATTATTAGATTTGTGATATATTAAACACTTTATATATAGAATATTTAAAATATATATATTAGGTTCATAGTATACTTAAGGGAAGAAAAGTGTATGAATTGCAGGGTTAGTAGCCAGTCGAAGTGCAATGTATTCAAACATTCAAGAACTTCAGTATTCTGGAGCCACATGCACCGGTTCAAATCCCAGCTCTACCCTTACTAGCTGTGTGATGTTGGTCAAGTCATTTAGTCTCTTTGTGCTGGTTTCCCCGTCTGTTTTCCCCATCTGGAGGTGATAATACTATTAAATATCTCATAAGATTGTTATAAAATTAGATTAATTAGCACATGCAAAGTACTGAGGACAGTGCCTAACATCATTGCAAATATCCAAAGGTCAGCTACTATGATCCCACATTTATCTTCTTTTTCTCCTTAAGTCTTCATTAGAGAAGAATAATTTATTTATTTTTTAAGATTTTATTTTTATTTATTCATGATAGACATAGAGAGAGAGAGAGAGAGGCAGAAACACAGGCAGAGGAAGAAGCAGGCTCCACGTCAGGAGCCCGACACGGGACTCGATCCCAGGACTCCAGGATCATGCCCTGGGCCAAAGGCAGGCGCGAAACTGCTGAGCCACCCAGGGATCCCCAGAGAAGAATAATTTAGAATGTCATAATTGGATTCTTCCATTATTTATCCCAATATTAATATGTGTTTCTTTAACTTAAGCCACCAATACACTATATTGGTAGCAAATAAAACAAAACAAAGAAAACACAACCCTCCTTATGAGTGGTCTTGATGCAGCAATGCCACTTTAGCATCCTGTGGCCTGCTGGGAGACCAATTCTTGAATTCTGAAAATGAATTATACCATGTGTGAAGATGGTATGGGCTTAGATTATGCATTAAAGGGGAGAGCTAGGGGACCCCTGGGTGGCTCAGCAGTTTAGTGTCTGCCTTTGGCCCAGGGCGTGATCCTGGAGTCCCGGAATCGAGTCCCACGTTGGGCTCCCTGCATGGAGCCTGCTTCTCCCTCTGCCTGTGTCTCTGCCTCTCTCTCTCTCTCTCTGTGTGTCTCTCATGAATAAATAAAAAAATATTTTTAAAAAGAACAATAAAAAATAAAGGAGAGAGCTATTATACTGCCTTGTATGTCCCAACATTTAGCTGTGAAATTTTGCACGTACAGTATTACTCTTCTTCCTAATGGATCTTCAAAATTTTTCATTGGCTTTTTTTTTTTTTTTACCACTCAGAGAATTACCATTTAATGCATATATGTGGCACACACTTAAAGTATGGGACTCACTGTTATTTTTTCTTGTCTCTTATGTTCTTTACAGTATAAATTTCTTCATACATGTTATCTTAAGTTTACAACTTAAGAGAGCTAGGGGTTCTATTGGTCCTAGTGTTCTATTGGTCTACTACTCCTGATAAAACTTTTAGACCCTATTTGAATGAACATTGTCTAGAAGTAACCAAAATAATTTTTTATGTGAGCTGCTACTCAAACTGTATTTTAAAGTAGTTCTCTTTTACTTGAAATAATCAAGTACATTGAGATGCTGGGTAATAGGTACAAAAACTTTCATAGAGCAGGATGCAAATGCAAAGCATTATTGCAGACTCTGGCATGTCAAAAAAATCTTCCTTTATTTTGAGGTTACTAATAATACCTTCTAGTCTGAAAAATAGGTATGTTAACTTTACAGTGGAGAAACCTTAACCAAGTAATCAAGGTTAATATCCTCATCAATAAGATATATCAGCAAGCTGCTCCAAGCTTGCACCAAGGACATCTCACTTGTGTAGTACTCCTGCCAAAAGGATTAGTGATTAGTCTAATCATGAGTAAACATCAGATGAACTGAAACTGTGAGACATTCTATAAAATAATTAGCTGGTATTCATCAATAGTGTCAAGGTCAGAAAAGAAATACAAAACCTGAGCGACCCTTGCAGGTTGGAGAAAACTAAAAAGGCACAGCTACCAAGGGCGATCAAAGTAAGAGCCCAGGTTGGGTCCTGTGTTTAGTGGGAAACTGATGAAATTCAAGTAAGGTTTATAGTTTAAGTAATAGGCTTGTATCTATGTGTTAACTTTCTAGCTTTAATAATTATACTATAGGCATGAAAGATAGCATCACAGAAAGCAGGGTGAGGGGTAGTGAACTCTCTACTATTTTTGCTATTTTTCTCTAAGTCTTCAGTTCTTTAAAAATGAAAAATAAAAAAAATAAAAATAAAAAAATAAAAAAAAATGAAAAATCAAACTAGCAAACAAAGGAACTCTATGTGTCTGACTTTAAAATCCTGATTCTGGGATGCTGAGGTGGCTCAGTGGTTGAGCATCTGCCTTTGGCCCAGGACGTGATCCCTGGGTCCTGGGATTGAGTCCTGCATCTGGCTTCCTGCAGGGACCCTGCTTCTCCCTCTGCCTGTGTCTCTCGTGAATAAATAAATAAGGAATTTTTAAAAATAAATAAAATAAAATAAAATAAAATAAAATAAAATAAAACCCTGATTCTTGGTGTGCCTGGGTGGCTCAATTGGTTAAGCATCTGCCTTCAGCTCAGGTCATAATCCCAGATCCTGGAATCAAGTCCTGCTTTGGGCTCCCTGCTCAGCGGGGAGTCTGCTTCTCCCTCTTTCTCTGCCCTTCCCCCTCTGCTTGTGTTCTCTCTCTCTTCTGCTCTCTGGCTATCTCTCTCTCAAATAAATAAAAAAATCCCCTCTAAAACAAAATGCCCTGACTCTTAACCACCAGAATGTACTTAGAATTCTAGTTTAAACTACATAGGGATTATTTGATGTTTGGCTTCTGGAGCTCCATTGCACCTGTCTGGTATCTCAGAGCTAGTCCTGTGTTTAGGGTACCAGGAAAAAAAATATAGGAAAAAGAATAAAAGTTCAGCTTTAATTAACCTATGCACAAATTTTCAATCCAAAAAATGACAAGAAAGCATGTCAGCATTCAAATAATAGCTCACATTTATATGGCACCTACTATGTACCAGTCTCCTCTCTAAGCATGTTACAAAAAAATTTTTTTTAAGATCTTATTTTTACTTATTTGATACACACACACAGAGCACAAGTAGGAGGAACAACAGAAGGAGAGGAGGAAGCGGACATCCCACTGAACAGGGAGCCCCATGCAGGGCTTGATCCTAGGACCCCAAGATCATGAGCCAAAAGCAGATGCTCAGCTGACTGAGCCACCTAGGTGCTCCCCATGTTACAAATTTTAATATATTTAATCCTCATACCAACCCTAGGAGGGTAGGTAGCATTACTTATCTCTTTTTTTACAGATGAGGAGATCAAGATACAGATTTTTTTTTTAAGATTTTATTTATTTATTCCTAAGAGACACAGAGAGAGAGAGGCAGAGACACAGGCAGAGGGAGAAGCAGGCCCCATGCAGGGAGCCCGATGTGGCACTCGATCCTGGGTCTCCAGGATCATGCCCTGGGCCAAAGGTGGTGCCAAACCGCTGAGCCACCCAGGCTGCCCAAGACACAGATTTTAAGTGACTTGCCCAAGGTTATTATACTTGCCCATTATTTCACTCAGAACACAAAACTGATAAATGAGAACACCAGAATTCAAACCCAAGCTTCCTGGCTCCAGAGTCCATGCACTTATCCAAGCTTCAACACTGCCCTCTGCATTGATTTTTTTTTTTAAGATTCTATTTATTCATGAGAGACACAGAGAGGGAGGCAGAGACATAGACAGAGGGAGAAGCAGGCTCCATGCAGGGAGCTCGATGCGGGACTTAATCCCAGGACTCTGGGATTACGCCCTGAGCCAAAGCCAGATGCTCAACCACTGAGCCACCCAGATGTCCCAGATTTTGTACTGTTAGAAATTTTATTTTGAATTACCTGTGATTTGGGGAGCACTCATCTGTCAGTGTATAGGGTCTTGAGGCCTGGACTCCTTAGACCCTAAACTATGTCCAGTCAAGGCCTGGTACACAGCTCAAACCCTCCCTGCAGTGTCCTGGGTCTGCAGATTGGGCACTGAAGCCTCAGCCAGGTTGGCTCATCTAAGTTTGCTCCAGAAACCTGAAGAGAAAGGATTCTGTTCCCAAACCCAGGGCTCAGTTCTCTCAGCAGTGGGTTTCATTTTCTCTACACAAAAAAGATAATCAAATTCATGCTACATAATCAGAGAGTTTGCAAAGCAAGAATTCCATCTCCCTCTGATAGTCTCAGAACTGAACATGCAAACCAACAGATTCCTAAAACTATTGGTGAATCGATTCAACTAGAAAAACAGAAAATATGCTAATTGACATGGCAGGGCCAGAGAGGGTAGAAGAAAGCTAAATTTCTATTCATAAAGTCTGATTCATTTAGAAAAAGAAAAAGTCACATGCCGTCAGATTGGGATTTGTGTTCACTGCAGTGAAGAGAAATACAGAGCCTTCATACTCTCAGGGGTGACTAAGCCATTATTTCACTCAGAACACAAAGAACTGTTGCTGTGCACACCCCCTCACTGTAATTAGCTCTTGCAAACGGGATGAAGAATCGAACACGAGAGGTCCTCGGCTGTGTGCCAAGCACTCAGAATTATTTATTTTATTTTGTTTAAGGAAACAGAGGAGAGGACCATGTCTAATAGCCTGTTTCTTCATGGGCCCCTGCATTACATGCAATGAGAAGATATTTCTGCTCTCTTCTGTTTGAGAGCAATAAGAGGGGCCTCCAAGAGACCCAGACCACACATGCTTGTCTGGGCCAGTGGCAGGCTGATAAATGTTTAACAACCAGTTGGGGGGCAAATTGAAGGCTGATTGGTAGTATTGCCGATTTCTATGGTGTAAATACTCCTACCTTGGCTGATTTCAAACTACAAATCCGACATTCCTGAATGAGGAGCTGGGAAGAGATGTGTGGTAGTGCACCTCTGTGTGCTCTTTCCACCACTCAAACAGTTGGTGCAAAGAACCCTAAAAGGAGATAATCATAAAATATAACGAACTAGTTAGGAAATGGTAAGTTTTGTGTATTTGTTACTTCATTTTAAATATAGTTTATTTCATTTAAGTTTGGATCATTTAATTTTAATACTGGCTATGTTTAACAACTGGCCCACCAGTTCCAAGAGCGGGACAAGGAAGTTCCAACACTGCTCTGAGTCCTTCAAATGGAGCTCACCCATTCTCATCCAGGGCTGCTATCTTCTTCTGTGAGAACAGTCATTGCAGCCGGCCTTGCCTTTACCTGCTGACAAAACAGAGAGATCACCTCCATTCCTCGTTATGGTGTCTGTAGGCTATCTAATCCAAGCATCTGACTTTATAAAAGCGGAAAGTAAATCTCAGAAGAGTCACATAATAGTAATAATAGCTGGTATTGATTAAACTCGTACTATATGCCAGTTGCTGTGCTAGGTGCATTGCAGAGTATGTCCTTGCAACTTCATAAAAATCATACAGAAGTGCCTCTTTGGCACCATTGGCCTCATGGTTCACCAAAGAGCAACTCCTCCTTTTGATTTGGTGTTTTCAGCACACAAGCTACCTTTCATTTGTTCTTTGAAACTTAGACTTCTTTTATTTAATTTTTTAAAAAAATATTTATTTGAGAGACAAAGAGCATGTGCAGAGGGAAAGGGAGAAGCAGGATCCCCTCCCCAACAGGGAACTTGATCCCAGGACCCTGGGTTCATGACCTGAGCCAAAGGCAGACACTTAACCAACTAAGTCACCGAGGTGACCAAACTTAAAGATTTCTTAAAGTGGCTATGGCTTTATCCTGACATATCTTGCACAGAGCCATATATATAATAGTGCACAATACATGTTTACTGAATTTCAGTGTTGAGCTATTTAGGCTCCAGACCCAAATATGTGCTTAAAGTCTTGGAAAACATCATCTCAGTATTCCCTGTCATTGCCAAAAAAAAAAAAACCTTTGGAACTAAAATTTACCATTTTAACCATTTTTAAACATACAATTGAATGGTGTGAAGTACAACCACAATGCTGTATAACTTTCACCACTACCTATTTTAGAACTATTTAAAAAAGACATCCACAATAGGTTCTACTTTTGTTTATTGAGTAAGTAATATATTCACATGACAAAAATGTAGTCTGTGAGAGTTTGCAAGACAAAGAAAGTCTTCCCTCTCTAGACCCCATAGCCCTCCATGTCTCTTGTCTATAGGCAACCAGTAACCATTTCTATACTTCTCCATAGGAGATGAAAACATGAACCCTAGATGTAGCTGACCTGGTTTAAATCCTGGCTCTACCACTGACCAGCTGTGTGACCTGGGGCAAGTCATTTAACCTCTCTGTGAAATAGAGATAATAATAGTGCCTACGTCCCAGGGTTATTATAAGGATTCATGAATTCATATGTTTAAAGGGCTTAGAATTGTGCACCTAGAAAGTACTATCTAATTCCTAAGAATACAACTCTGGAATTCTGATCTTCCCAAAGACCTTAGTGCATATAAGAGTGATGTGCCAGGGTATATATATGTCAAAAATCAGTGTGGGAATGCTGAAGGATGAAGGATGGGGTGGGGCAACATCTTATACTAGAACATCATATGGGGAGTAGGAGGTTCATGTTCTGCGTGTGCCACTGAGCCGCTCTGGGGCCTTCAGATTTTACCTCTCGGGGCTTTTGTTTTCTTGCCCATGAAATGAGAACATTTGACCAAATGAGTCCTAAGGTTCCTTTCACATTTAACAGTCTATGTCTGTCTCTAAAGAGTTTAAAAAGTGCCAGCACTCTCTCAGGGAGCTGAAGAAGTAATTAGGAGGTAGGGAGGCGAGTTCCTCAGACAGGCATTGATAGCTCAGTGGGACTGAGACTCCTAGGTCAACTGTGCCACCTGCTTGAGTCATCTGGTTCCCCACATCCTCTTTTAAAGGAGCTGTGCACTGTCCCTCTACCAGAAGATTCAATTTCAAGTTAACATGCTCTGTTTAGAAGACCAGAGGGATTCTTTGTTGGCCTTGATGACTCATCCGGAGAGTTTGTCACCTATTATATTCAGATTGCAATCCTGAATTATTACACTGATAGAGTATTGAGTCTTTTGCTTGTTTTTTTAACAGGTAAAATTTACCAGCTGGTAATCTGTGGTTACTTTCTGGTGTGCTTGGCCAGATGGCACTTTCAGTGATAAAACTGCATAGCACAAAGAGGTTTCACTATGTTCTAAATCTTCTCTGCACTGTTTCTCAGATATCAACATTTCTGCTCAAGCAAACTGTTTTTCTGAGCCCAGAAACTTAAACACAATGAAAACAGATGAGGGAAGCTCCCAGGGTCTGATTAGCTTGGAGCCATCATTTAGGCCCTTTTGATTAGACATTCAAATAAGATTATACAGCTTTCTATTTGGATACTCACTTTGATTGTGAACATGTAAAAACTCACCATCACTGTTGTCATTACTGCTGCATTATTACCATTATTGTTTTATTGATAACGAATCTTACAGAGAACACTTGTATATTGCCATTTGCAAAGTATATTTAAAATATTCCCTTATTTGGTCTATATTATTATCCTTTGAGGAAGTTTGGGAGAGTAGATAAGAGAATAAGCTTCAGAGTTTTACCAAATTGCATTTGAATCCCAGCTCTGCTCTTAGATTTGGTTTGACTCCATGTCTGTATCTATAAATTAGGGATAGCAATACCTAATTTATACAGTATAAAGTGGGTGGATTTGGAGGCATGATACAAAGAGCCCAGCTCAGTGCCTGGCACAAAAGCACCCAATAAATGGTAGTTTTACTGTTGTTTAAATTAGTCTCCTTTTTTGTTTTAAGATTTTTAAAAAAGATTTATTTTTATTTATTTGATTGAGAGAGAGAGAGAGAATGAGCAAGAGGGGCAAAGGGAGAGGGAGAGAGAATCTTAAGCAGATTGTGCTGAATAAGAAGCCCAACGCAGGGCTTGATCTCACGACCCTTAGATCATGACCTGAGCCAAAAACAAGAGTCAGACGCTTAACCAACTGTGCCAGCCAGCTGCCCTGCCAGATTTTATTCTTAAGGAATCTCTACACCCAATGTGGGGCTTGAATTCATAGCCCTGAGACCAAGAGTTGCATGCTTTACTGACTGAGCCAGCCAGGTGCCCCTGATCTCCTTTTTTATACAACTAAATTAAGATTCAAAAAAGATGCCTCTTCATCTTTTCAGTGACAGCCTAATGATGAAGATGATAACATTTTTAACAGTAACAGCCTTTACTCATGTCTTCTGGACTCAAAACCCATCTGTGTTCTTTCTACAGTGTGACACTGCCACTCAAAAAAAGAACACTTCTACACTAAAAGTGCCTAGCTTAGTTATCTGACTTGCTGAAAAGATATTTGTTGGGTTTTTTTTGTTGTTGTTGTTGTTGTTTTCCTTTTTTCTGAGTACCTTTTGATAGTTTTTTTTCCCCTCTCTCTTTCTCTTTCTTTTCATAGAACCCAAATAAGGAATTGGAAATGAAGAACAATAAAAACAGCCCTCGGATTGGTTTCTGAGTCATCATCATATACCAGACAGCTCTAGATTACTTTCAGTGGCCTACCTCTTTGAAAGCTTCCACACGTTCCCTGAGATCTTTGGAGCTGGAAGTTCTCAGTTCTCTTCTGTGTCATCTAGGCACAGCTCCATCATGAAAGCAGAGGAAAGTACACAGGAAAAGTTACTGCAGGAATTTCAAACTAGTGACGGAGTCAGGACTAGAACCCACATGTCTAGGATTCCAATCCAGATTTCCTTCTTCTTCATTTTGCTCTTCAAGGAGAGTTCTCTCACCTCTCCCTTTGTAGTCAAACTAATGGACATTGTGACATTGTCTTCCTAATCCTATATGTTGGACTGCAGGATCACTTTAAATATCAGCAGGTTACACAATTGTGACACTTGAGACATCACAGTCATAAGACTGAAAAGGTTTCTTTGGAAATCACGCTGTCAAGATGAGAGTCTCCTCCCAGGGGTTTTGTTCTGGTCTTAGGGTGTAACAAGAGGCTTTCTCGTGACAAACCTAAGCCTTCCTGCTTGGGGCTGAATTGAAAGTAGGGCAGGACTTGCCAATCCCCTGGTATTTCTGGGTCTCCCTTTGGTCCTCACCAATATCAGGAAGGGTGAAAATTTAAATCCTAGGCTTGCAGCTTTCCTCCTTCCCTTCCTCCCTCCCTCCTTTTCTTCTTTCCTCCTTTCTTCCTTTCTTTTTAAGCCAAGCACACTGCTAAACCCAAATCTGGAGATTTTCCAAAGTTAGGCTTCTTTAAACTTGATCCTCTAAAAGATCCTTTCCCTTCTTTTCTCCCACAGTAATAGTGCATCCAAAGGCAGTGAATTTACAAATGCACGGAGGAGGAACAAAGATGGTGTACACATGATTTCGAGTTTTGGTTCCTGACAATTTTCAGCACCTGACCTTACCCAGACAGCAATGGTTACTTTGTGTTTTGACCTGAGTTATTTCGAAATGCTTATTGGCATTGAGACCTAGATTTCATGCCATACCATTTCAGAGACCTTAGGCAAGTCATTTAACCTCTCTGAGTTTCTGTTTTTCCATCTGCAGAATGGCAATAGGAATGGCTCAAAGCTATTGAGGCCAAGTTTATAGTACTCCTAATACTGACATAATAACAGCTCAAATGTCTCCAATATGAAAAATAAGTAAGTGCCACCTGCCTGGCACATGACAGCCTCTAAGCCCTTCTTCCCTTGCCTACTGAGTCATTTACTACCTTTCTTTCATTATTACTCCCCTTCTTCTTCTTCTCCTCAAACCCTCCTTGGTTCTTTCCTGATTTCCACGTACAACATAGTGGAACACCGGTTCATTTTCCTGTGCCAACTCCCATTTCTTACACTTCAGGCTGCTTAGTTCATTTCCATTTCTGCTCAGCAGGGAAGACCAACTTTCCTTCTCGTGGCTCTGGAATTTATGTTTCTGTTTGTTTGTTTGAAGTCTCACATCACAGGGGATCAGCCTGTGCCTTCCATCCTTGCTCGGCCTGGTTCTTCAGAGGGGTCAGGTCTTCCTTGGCAGTGAGATTTTAAAATAACACTGCTGGCGAAGCACAGAAAGTCAGCCGAAACCAGCCTTCCCCAAAGACCAGCTATCTGCTCAACCAACAGTTTTGGATTCCTCCCTAGGATTATATCTCCTTTTGGGCTCTTTATTCAGCCCCCAGCTTACCACGGGGCTGGCTTTTACCCTGTGATAAAAACTACAAAGATAGCAGCTGTCTTAGGGACTGATGGCATCTTTGAGTTCCCTCGGGCTTATCTGTAGCAATTTTTATGTGGCCATTGCACCAGCCCTCAGGCCCCTCAGTCACTGGTTTTTCACACCCTTGGAATTTGCTCCATGGATTCCTAATGACCTGGACAAGTCTGCTTAGACGCTTGTCCTGCATTGAAAGGGAGCCTCTTCTGGCAATAAGAGTCTAACCAGAGTAAGTACATTGCAGGGGTGGGGGTGGGGGGATGGGGGCAGAGGTGGGGAGGGGGGCAACGAAAGGTTTCCTGGCCTCCCTCTCAAGGCACAGTAAGACCTCCCCTTTACCCAGAAGTGCCCGGTTGGGAACGTGGCTCTCAACTTCTTGCTGTGTACACAAGGCTGAGAGCCAGGAAACCACAGCAGAAGGGTCACGTATTCATTCATCAGATACTTGTTAGGCATCTTCTCTGGACAATGCACTCTGCCAGGGCCTGAGTTGACTAAGGAGGAAGTCGTGGTTCCAAGTGAGCAAAGTCAAATATGCCTACATAGAATGACAGCGCCATGTGACGCACATCATAAGAGACGTCTGGGTAAAGGGCCAGGGATCTACGGATCTCAGGGGAAGAAGACCCTCACACTGTCCATGGTGGAATGTGGTAGATGGGAAATGGCATCACAGAAGGGGTGACTGTCCTGCAGAACTTTTAAGAATGAGGAGCTCGACCCACTGGAGGCCAGTGGTCTAAGGGCCCAGGAGGGGAGGAGACTGAAGACACCGTTTGGCAGCCAGCCAGCCATTGGCCCTCAGACAAGGACTTGAATGCCATAGCTAATCTGGGAGATGATTCCAGGAAACAGCCACAGGGGAGTGGGGAATGCAACAAGGGATGGAAGAAAGGTTGTTATCAGGACAGTTGCCATTGCAGGTAGTTGGAGCTCAATCCCCTCTGGGCAGCTCTGGAATTCAGTGTAAAGCATGTCTCAGAGTTCTGTCAACAGAAAGCAAAGAAGCCCAGATGGAGGGGATGGTTTCCAGGAACAAGTCCTGCTTGCCCAGCCCAGGGTGCCCCTGCAGCCAAGGTAAAGTTATAGAAAGAGAGGTGCAGGTGTTTGCAGCAACAGGTAAATGTGGCCTGATGTGAGTGAGGCCCCCATAGCATCTGCTATAGGGGACCAGTGGCATGTGAAAGGAGCATCCTGAATTATGGACCATTCGGTGAAGAGATGAAACTGTAAAGGAAAGCGGGAGTCAAATTGTACACCTCGCTGGGGGGTGGGGGTGGATCTTTATTCAACAGGGAATGGGAATCACTGAGGGCTCTGGGCAGCAGAGTGTTCTGACAGAGGAGCCATGTGCCCCATAAGCAGGACAGGTTGAACGTGGAAAGGCAGAGTCACCAACACCAGCCCTGCCAGCCCGTAGATGGATGACTCCGCGGCACTTACAGGGATATGAGTGAATTGTTCCCTTTTCTGTATTCCCAGGCAAAGCAGGGTCCTTATGCTATTGGAATGATCAGTCATGCATATCTGTGCTTACACAACCAGACCCTCTATAGGTTGTGATCTCATGCACCATCCTAAGCCCAACAGCTTGTACAGGATCTAGCACATGGCAAAGACTCAGAACGCATTTGATTGATGGACGACTAGGTTGCTGTATACTCACAGCTCTACCCAGAGCTATTCACTGTGCTCGTACCAGGATTATCCTTGACCCCAAAGGCACCAGATCATCCCATGTACACATTTTGGAAGTGGACCAGAAAGGCAGTAAGGATGGGGTGCTCTGAAGTATTTCGGAACTCCTTCCCTATAAGCCCAGAGCTGGTCTCAGAAGGTGCTTCCTTCTAGTCTTTGCTGCTTCAGCAAGGCCTACGGTGGAACTTTGCCCAGTCGTCACCTCCACAGAAGACATTTTGCCACAGTCCTAATATCGTCACAGGAGGCTGGACTTTCCCTCTGGGTTTGGCCAACTACGTGGTGTAGGCCCTGCTTTCTGCCCAGATCTGACAGCAGTTGCTTCTGGTTGCCAACCAGAGAAAGAGGCTATCCTTGTCATTCAGCAAGGGGATGGTTTTCTGAAGTGGCTGTGTGACCTTTTCAGAAAATCCCCATGGAAAGGGGAAGTATTCTGATGGTAAACAAGAGGAAAATAGAAAGCATTCAGTAGCCAAAATCTTTTCTGGAATGGTGCTCCACACCCAGTGATTCTGACCCAGATCTTAAGGTAGAGGAGACTTTTAAAAAAAGATTTTATTTATTTATTCATGAGAGACACAGAGACAGAAGAGAGGCAGAGAGATAGGCAGAGGGAGAAGCAGGCTCCCCATGGGGAGCTGGATGCAGGAATCGATCCCAGGACCCCGGGATCATGACCTGAGCCAAAGGCAGACAGACGTTCAACCACTGAGCCATCCAGGCATCCCAAGGTAGAGGAGAATTAACAGGAATCCACCACCACAGAATTCATAAGGAACTTCTAGAGGTCACATTCAATCCACCCCCCCCCCCCCCGCTGTAGGTACGACCGAATTGAATTCATTAAATATTGTATTGTACTTCAAACATTTTAGGAAAAGATTCTGTATCTTTTTCCATCAAGGATCCAAAAAACATTCTTATGGGTAAGAAGCCCTTCAAAGGAGTAATAGAACCTAAGGCCTGAAAACTCATTTCATAACTGAGGAAACTGAAGCAGAGCCAGAACTAAAACATTGTGGGCAGCCCAGGTGGCTCAGCAATTTAGCACCACCTTCACCCAGGGAACCCGGGATCGAGTCCCACATCGGGCTCCCTGCAAGGAGCCTGCTTCTCCCTCTGCCTGTGTCTCTGCCTCTCTTCCTCTCTGTGTCTCTCGTGAATAAATAAATAAAATCTTTATAAAAAAAAAAAAAAACTAAAACATTGTGCCTTGACCCCTAGTTTGGAAACTTCCTTCAGTCACTCAGAGAATATTCCTTGAGTGCCTACCCCCAGGACCTCTACTTAAATCTGGGAAAACATAGCCCAATAAGACAGTTTCTGCACTCTGAGGAAGGGGTTCATAATCCAATAAAACAAATATTTGCATTTTAATTCACTGTAACTGTCACCAATATTATAATAAAAACATGTTCAAATGCATCTTAAAGTCTTACCAAGGGTCCTTTCTGCTTTTTTTTTTTTTTTTAGAAAAATGGGCGCTTTTATAACAGATTGCACAAGCTTCTACTTCTACCTTCTCCCTCCAATCCTCATATCTATTAAGAAAGATTCACTATTTGATTCACTTAGGCACACATTTAATGACAATTGTGTAAATCCCTGAGCTTTATTGTAAAAGCAGAATACATAAGTTCCCATCTTGAATTTGCAATGTCAGGCTATTATTTGTCCAAAGAGTTCAAAGGAGCTGGGCTGAGGTCCATTTACCTTTCTAT